AAGTGTTGGCTGGGCAGTCTGCCCCTACTGGGGTGCAGGCAGCCGGGTGAGCAAGCCAGATCCCGGTCCTGCACTCCCAGAGGAGGATGCCAGCAGGAACATAAGGCCATCACGTGGTGGGAGAACTGGGCAGAGGTGGGAGGACCCATGGGTGGTATGCAGCTGGTGAGTGTGCAGGCCTCGAACAGCCACCAGGGGGGCAGCTTACCATGGCAGTGACTGGCCTAACACACTGTGAAGGACAACTTGGCATTGGGGGGATGTGGGATTGGGAGGCCAGTTGTCCAGGGAGCAAGGTGGGTGGATGGGGGTGGCATGGGGGTGGAAGGAGGTTGCTGGCTGTATTCTTGATTGACCAAGGGATTCGAGAGCTGGGGAGTGGCAGAGGAAACTCAGGTCCCAGCTCAGGGTCAGGCCCTGGGGTGCTGACTGAGGGCAGAAGAGGAGCTCAGAAGTGGAGCGAAAGGGACAGGTGGTTGTCCCTGGGGTTGGGTGACGTGGGGGCTTTGGCCAGAGCGGGGTGGGAGGAGCCTGTGGTGAGGAACTGGTGGCCTGCAGAGGAGTGGGCAGTGGCTGGGCCCCCTTGGAAACCCTGGTCTGATGGAGGCACAGCCTCTTCTCTGGGAGCTCTGATTTGAAGGGCCCGGGGACCTTTGCAACCTCCCCTCAACTCAGGCAGGGAGGGGCTCCTTGCTTCTGGTGCTGTGAGGGGCCCCTGCCCCAGCTCCTTCTGTCACCCTGGACCTGGGGATTGGGGAGGAGCAGATGTCACTGACCTAGATTCCTCAGGTTTGAGCCCAAGAGTGGGGGCCTGGATCCATGACCCAGGTATTCCAAGTTTCTGAAGTCCAGACAAGAGGCAGCAAATGGTCTCCCACATGTGGGAGCAGTCACTGTGTGCTCGAGGAAGGAAGGACCTGCTTGTGTTGCAGAGATGGTAACAGGTGTCCCCTGCAGCAGGAAGGATTTCAGTCAGACATGGGGAAGAACTTCCAGATGTTGTGGGTATATGAGGATGTATCCTAGAGGTGTAACTGAAAGAAGGAGGGCCAAGGATCCCCTGGCGTTTGCTAGGGCAGGATGTGCCTAAGATGCAAGTGAGGGTCCTCCGGTCAGAGACCACAACCCACATGTCCTGCTTGGGGCCAGTCCTTGGCTGATGCGCAAGGCAGCCTGGAAAGCTCTGCAAATGGCTCGGGAAACCTCTGTTGATGGGGCTCTGCCCTGGTGTTGAATGGGCCTTAGGGAGGCCCCCCTCCACCTGGTCTGGGTGTTAGACGATCCTTGAGGGTCCCTTTCAGGTCTGTGATTCCCAGTCCTGATTGCACAGCTCAGGTGCTGTAGGCTTTGCGAGGTGGAGGGGATGTGAGGTGGTGAGACAAACAGAAACTGGAATCCTGGCCCTCCTGTGTTTTGCTGTGTGGCGTCCGGCAATCCTTCCACCTCTCTTGAGCCTCAGTTTCTTCACAGAGCTGAGCTGTGAATTATTTCCAAGATTACATGAGAAAATGGACAGGAAGCTGTTAATATTGAGATGGGGGAGGGGGCAAGGAGAAGCTTCCTGTCCCTGTGCTGGAGGTCGGGAGCCCGTGCATACTTCCCTGATCGTCTCCACCAGGGACTGCAGAGCCAGGGGACACTTGATGGGGGAGAGGCCGAGGCCAAAGAGCCAGCGTTGCAATCCTCCAAGTTTTGAGTGAGCCCAGCAGGTGGCCGCCTCCTGGGCTGCCAGCCTGAGTAGCTGGTTCTCCGGAGGGACCAGGGTTGCAGGCTGCGGGACCACGGGTGACAGCGGTGCAGACCTAGCCCCTTGGAAGGCAAGGAGGCCACAAACCCTCGGGGACCAGAACCCCTGGGGACCCCCATTTGTGGAGACCACAGCCCATAGGGGGAAGGGTGGTGTCCTGCAGTTAGATGCAGGCAGGATGGAAACCCAGGGCAGCCACCCCGCGCCTAGGAAGTAGTCAACAGGTGCAAATGCAAGTGCAAGGTCACTTCTGTGCTGCCTTGGGCCTGGGCTAGGAGCGGTCCTTGCTGGGGTCGGCCATTCAAATGTCTAAACGAGTGAGAGTGGAGGTCAGGGTAGGACGGCGCCTTCTCCACTGCTGGGCAGGGACCAGTGTTCGTGTCTGGGACATGCCTTAGTGCGGGTGGGGAAGGGGCACCTGTGAGAAAGCATCACTGTTGCCCACACCTGCTCCCTTCACAGCTGCTAATGCCCAGGATGATGTCAGCCAACGTGCATGCACTTGGCTCCCTAAGGACTTGGAGCTGAATGTCCCCTAAGCATAGGGTGGACTGTGGCCTGATTGCAGGGGACTAGGTGGAATGTGACAGCAGTGTGGCCAGGAGGGGTGTTCCCAGGAGAGGAGGTGCTGGCTCTGTGCATCCTGCAGTTCAGCCTCTCCTGACACATAACCTTTGCCATCACACTCTTGGGGTCTGTCCTACCACCTGCAGGTCACCCCTCTGCAAGGACCTGCTCTCCGGCCCTCTGCCGAGCGTCCATCAGCCCCAGCTCTTACATGGTTTGGAAATGTGTGTTACTCAGTTGTCCTTGTCCCAGTGGCCTCTGTGAAGGATCCCAGGCACCATTTGTTGGGTGGTTGGGCTAGTGGCAGGTGGAGGGGCA